CCAAACAAAGTAGTTTCGCTTTCACAACGAAACACAGTGTCACACACGGCGGGCTAGAGTGAGCGGCTGCGGGCAGGCTTGCGGCAACCACATGTGACGACCCCGGACTGGACTCGGATATCGTCCTCTTTTGGAAGGCCAAACAAAGTAGTTTCGCTTTCACAACGAAACACAGTGTCACACACGGCGGGCTAGAGTGAGCGGCTGCGGGCAGGCTTGCGGCAACCACATGTGACGACCCCGGACTGGACTCGGATATCGTCCTCTTTTGGAAGGCCAAACAAAGTAGTTTCGCTTTCACAACGAAACACAGTGTCACACACGGCGGGCTAGAGTGAGCGGCTGCGGGCAGGCTTGCGGCAACCACATGTGACGACCCCGGACTGGACTCGGATATCGTCCTCTTTTGGAAGGCCAAACAAAGTAGTTTCGCTTTCACAACGAAACACAGCGTCTCAACGGCATGGCGGCGGCGGCAACAATACATCAGTGAGAATAAAAGTTACACCTTCTTTCTTTGCGTGAACATCGTGACGTAGACATATGGGGGCGTGTAAGAACGAGCCATTTTAGCTAGGCGTGGTTGACTCTTAACTTTTATAAAGAATATCTCTTTGGATTTGAGACTTTAGTCTTTGCAACTATACAGATCTTCTTTATGCACCAAGAGCTTGTAACACTCCAAAGAGAAAGGAAAAATTGAAATCGCATCATATGACCCCTTTAAAAAAATCTAAAACAGTGCCGTATATTGACCAACCACAGGGACAGCATGTGCGAATACGCAATCAGTGTGGGTAATTTGTTCTTAGTGTCACATTTCTTTCTGTTGTTCAAATGTGATCAAATTATAGTTCAAATTGAAACTAGGTGAGAATAACGTACCTTACCTTCCTCCCCTCTGGCAGGTAGCACTTCCCCTTGCCCAGTCTCTGTGTGAATTTATTCCTTTGCTGCCCTCTTCTTTTAGTTCCTCCATCCCTAAAAAACCCACTCACCCCAGAGCCACTGTCAGGCTGCTGCCCTTCTATTGGACACTCTGCACATTCCACCCTGCACGATTGGCTGTGCACTCACTCACCGAGTCAAGTGTGTGATAGCTAATGTGTGTGATGGCAACTCTCAGCCTTAGCCACTGACCTAGAATCATTGTAATAATCTGATAGTGATGATAATAGTGGGAAGTGCCAAAGATGACAGTGGGAAAGTCTAGAAGTCAGACTTACTGACAGCATGGAATCTGCCTCCACAGAATGTACATTTCAGCAGAATTGAATATCTGTGATTTAAAACACTTTTTTGCATATCCCCTGTTTGCAATTTATTAAATATTTTGGATGATTTGTTGTTGCTTTCAGCTGCTAGTAAGTGTTCTCTGCTTTCTGTTCCATTTAAAACATTTTACTGTGCTTATAAATATTAAATTAATTGCATGCTGCATATTTCCCCTCACAACGGTTACAGGAATTGTGATAAAATGTGCAGATTCCATGCTGGCCAACTTTTGGGGTAATGCTGATGCAGGAATGAATAATTCATGGTCAGTTATAAATGACCTCAGGAATGAATGTATGAACTGCAAAGCTGATTTGGGGTCAGTTGTTGAGGGCAGAGTGTGAGGTGGTCTAATGCGCACTGTAGTGTCTTCGAAGTGTAATGCAGTGGCTCCCTCCTGTGGCCAGGTGTTTTCCTGGGAGTTTTACTCAGGTACAGTCCTCGATCTTCCCACACAGCCACCACCATTAACCTCCATGTCCTGAAAAATAACACACTTTACATCACTTCTCATAACAATACTGATTGAGGTGAAGATTAGGGTTACGCTACAGGAGTTGCACTGGAGTTGAAACTAGTCAAGTGGCAGAAGTTTCATGGTCACTGGTTAGGTTATGGCGATGTCTTTATCATTACTATACAAAATAAAAGTGCTTAAGAGTTTAAAGAGTGTAAGTTGAAGAATTTCAACACTTAATTTTATTATGGTTGCACTTTCTGTGTTTCACATAATTCACTTATAACATGATTAAGTGCACTGTATGAGGTTGAATTGTGTTAAAGAAGAAATAAAATGTAACTTCTACAAAGACAATAAATATACACTACCATTCAGATGTTTGGGGTCAATAAGATTTTTTTTAGAGTAAAATATTTAGCAAGAATGCATTAAAATTGAAAGTGACAATGAAGACATTTATAATGTTAGAAAATGTTCTCAAACATTCTATTCACTGAAGAATCAATTGAAAACATTTGTTTTCAAAACGTTTTCAACATTGATAATAATTAATTAATAAGCAAATCAGCATATTAGACTGATTTCTGAAGGATCATGTGACACTGAAGACTAGAGCAATGACTGCTGAAAATTCAGCTTTATCATCATGGAGTAAATTACATTTTATAAAAGATTACAAATAAAAAAACATTATTTTGAATTGTAATAATATTTCACAATATATATTTTTCAAATAAATGCAGCCTTGGTTAAGATTAAGACACTTTTTAAAAAAAACATTATTGACCCCAAACTTTTGAATGGTAGTGAAAATACATAAACACAACTATTAATCTTGATTTTGTTTTCTTGTCATGTAATGAATAATGAATTCTGATTTGTGACCTGCTTTCTTGACTCTGTTTAGCCGGTTTAAGGAGAAGCTTCCGCCTAAGTCGGAAGGACCGTCGAGGTTCTTCAGGAGAGGCCAATGTTTCTGACCAGAATGACACAGAATTCCTCATCTATGAAGAAGTGACATGTTACCAGCAGAAGCCCAATGAGAGACACCGATTAGTAGTTCTCATTGGTAATATATATATATATATATATATATATATATATATATATATATATATATATATATATATATATATAACATAGCATTTCATCTGCAGTTTAATATTTTTTATTCTGTGTAAATTGGCCATTGTGGAATTTTGGTGCAACAAACACCCCACTGATTAACTGAGATATATGGAAAAAGAACAGTGTAAATATAGAAATTGAAGGCACAGTGGTTGTCTAAGTCCTCACAATATTGGAAAGTAGTACCTAATTAACAAATCTGGTATTATCATTAAAGTGCTTAAAATATATCATTAAAAACAAAGCCAGAAATGCACAATACCTTCCATAAACAACTGCCTATACCAGATCTAAGATGTTTGCCAACCCGGTTCGTTGTATCCCACACTCTGATGATACACTGACCTCTAGTGGCAATAATGGTTCAGCTTCAGAATATATCTGCAATCTCAGTCATTTGCTGAAGTACTTTTTTTTTCTTGTACACTGCACTTACTATATATGCAATCATTTTAACTTGCTGCCTATCTTTACACAGGTTCTCTGGGAGCACGTATCAATGAGCTGAAGCAAAAAGTGATAGCAGAAAATCCCCATCGCTACGCTGTGGCTGTGCCCCGTAGGTCTTGCCTCATTTTCTAAGCAAGATAAAAAGAGCTTTCTGATAAATACACTAGTGGAATCACACACAAGAGTCAAACCATGAACATTGAGACTTTCCAGTGTTTCAGACGTTTGAAATGATCTGTGAACTTTAAAGTCACCAAAAATTGTCATTGTTTACTCACCTTCATGTTCTTCCCAACTCATATGACACAAAATGTGAATTTCTAATATATACATATGACCATTTTTTTATATATAAAATGAAAGTGAGATAGGACTGGGGCTGTCAAGCTTCAAAAAGGATGCAAAAGCACAGATGCACCAACTTTCTTTTATTTTTATAGTCATTTTGTATCCCTTTTGAAGCCTCAGTCCGCATTATAATTGCATGGAAAACAGTCTTTGGAATTTCTCCTTTTTGTGTTTCACACATAGAGGTCATACAGGTTTGGTAGTGCATAAGGATTCCTTCAAACCACTTGACATTTTTGGCTATCTGTTCTCCATTACAGACACCACACGGCCCAAAAAGAGCCATGAGAAGGAGGGAGTGGAGTACCACTTTGTGACTAAGCAGGCGTTTGATGCAGATGCAGAGAATAACAAGTGAGTTCCGCTGTGGTGTGGTCCTCTTGTACTGCGTTTCTTGTACTACAAGTTTTACCTATCCAATATATTGTCTAACTGTCATACCCTGACTTGAACTGTCTGTATGTAGATTTATAGAGTATGGAGTGTATAAGGAGAATCTGTATGGGACCAGTATAGAGGCCATCCGCTCCGTTCAAGCCAAGAACAAAATGTGTCTAGTAGATGTACAGCCTGAGGTAAATTACTGCAGATTTTGCCCTGGGTGTTGGTTCAAGAATTACTGTAAACACTATCATTTATAATTTAAATAAAAAGAGCAAAATATTATTTTAAATTATGCACAAAAGCATGTGTTGTACATTTGTACTTTTTGTTTTGGTTTTATTTGCAATTTTCATGCATCGCTTACAATAGATAGCCAAAAGGAAGCCGTTCTCCAATGCTGCTATGTACTGACAAGTTTCACCTTCAGGTGGAGCTACTTGCCTATTGCAACAAGAATATTAGTTGTGCAAGACCACATGCAGTACTTTACCCCCAATGGCAAGAATCCTTGTTATGGTCATGGGAGGCAATTTGCCTAACACTTGCTCTCATACATTTTTAATGTGAGATTTTACTGCTACTGGCTTAAACTGAACTTAAAGTTTATCAGGGCATACAGACAACATTTATTTATTATATGATTCCGTACATGGTCTTCTAAAGTTCATTGCAACTGGGTTAAAACTAGTTATATTATATGTTATAACATATAGATTGTATTTTAGTTGTTTTCAATGCCAAACCTCATAAAAAGAAAAGGTTATGAAAGACTCAGATAGAATGATAGATAGATCATGCTAATATGCTGAATTGGTGCTCAAGACGCATTTCTTATTATCATTGTTGAGAATATTAACTATATGTTGCTTAATATTTTTGTGGAAACTGAGATACTTTTTTTTAGGATTATTTGATGAATAGAAAGTTCAAAACTACAGCATTTATTTAAAATAAAAATCTTTTTTTTACATTATAAATGTCCTTACTATTACTTTTGATCATTGCTTTAATGTGTCGTTGCTAAATAAGATAATTTATTTCTTACCCCAAATTTTGAACAGTAGTGTAGATAGATATTTTCATTTACCCCTACAGACAACTTATTTTCTTGTTTATCCTGCTACAGGCTCTGAAGGCCCTACGGACAGCCGAATTTAAGCCTTATGTCATTTTCGTAAAACCAAGAATCCCAGAGAGTCGCAGACGCCGCAGTGCTACTACTTCACCAGGAGGAGGTGAACATGCACGAATAACAGTGAGTCTGATCACAGGTTTACATCAGTCAGCTCTCAAGAAACCCTGTGGCACTGATCAACGACAATACTTTCAGCCTCTCAAAAAATCAGCCTTGAAATTGTGTAATTTAATAATAATTGGAATAAAATTGCAGTTTGTCTGGCTTTAAAAATTTAAAGTGTTTGTCTCACTTGCAAAATTGATCAGAATCTACAGACACAGTATTTCTAGCTTGATTTCTATATATTTTTGCACACATTTACTGATATCTCTTTCATTTCATTCTCACTATAAATATTCATGCACTACACTCTCTCATCTCCTCATCTTTCAGGAGGAGGACCTGCAGGAAATGCGTCTGTCGGCACAGCAGATAGATCAACAGTACGGTCACCAAGTGGATCGGGTCCTGATTAAGGAGGACACTGCCAGTGCCTGCGCAGAACTACGTAGCATCCTGGAGAGACTGGAGCGGGAGACCTTCTGGGTTCCTGTGAGCTGGGTCAAAGCCTAGGACCTCAGCTTCATTTCAGACTGTTGACCTACATTTCCACTGATGGCTTTTCTTCCAGTCGGACTGCACTCACCCACCTGGACATGGCTTCTTTGAGTGGTCCACCATTTTTAAGAGGAGGCATAAAAAAAGACTACAAAAAGACTTTAAGGCCATCAAAGGTGTCTGTCTTATTACAGCTTTTGTTTCCAGGCTGAGACATGCAGGCACATAAGCACTTATATTGGCATGAACGATCTAATTTATTTTTGAATGATATTAGTTATTTATTAATTTGCTTGTTATTTCATGAAGTTAGTTTGTTTGATACTATGTGGCTTCCTTTCAGGTTATTTGTACTTTCAATAGACTGTTCACTAAAGCAATACTTCCAGTATCAGATTATATTATCAGAAAGGCATTGACCATTGGTATTAATTGGCTGTGGAATGTGGTTACCATAGCAACAACATTGTTCTTCCTGAATTGCACATTTGGCCAGAGCAAGTGGGAAATTTGTAGGTTGGTCTGTACATTTTTCAACAATGCACATCAAGCCGTTCCCACGCACACCCATGCAGAGACTCATTTAGCAACCGTAACTACTTCAGTTTGAGATCATTTGAAGTTTTAATTTCATCTAGTGTTGCTTGTCAGACTTTGTTGTCTAATGTAATCACATAAATCAAGTTCTTTTTGAAGAGCACGACTGATCAATGTTTTCACAGGAAAATATTAAACTCCTGCTGTGCCAACAACTGTCTCAATGCACCAAGCTTTTCTTCTCAAGGATTGTCTTCATATGGAGGGTAACGAAATACCATGCGAAAGCCCTTGAGCTTCACAATATCTATGTAAATATGTAACTAAGCTTCCTGGAGTCTAGGCTCGTTGGGTGTAGCACCCAGGACCCTTATTTCAAACTAGACTCTGGTTGTAAAGGTCTATGCGACAGTTCAGAGTGCATATGTTACATCTGCATCATGAACTCATGCATCTTTTGCCATTTAACTTTCACATCTCTCTAGAACGTTCTACCATTTCCCAACATATCATACAAATTCTCTTGATCCTACCTCACCTTGGGTTTGAACTGAAATCTGTCGCCTGTCGCTGCAGTTCTTCGTTGTAAATGCTTAATTGTATGTCATGTACTGATTGCAAGTAAATATCAAAACTAAAAAGTTGCCGGTCTTGAATGTGCGCAAGTGTATTTTGACAAACGCTGCCTCTTATTATACATTTGTCTGTTGCATTAAGATTTAAATGACAGTAAGCAGTATTGCAGGTTTTTGGTTTTTTTTTTTCAGATTATTCCGTCAGCCACTCTATTGCACATTAACATTATGAATATATTCTTTGCCGTGGGCAATCAAACCAGAGACTGTGTTTATCCCATTTCCAAGCGCTACAGGCTATTGTTTTTTTTTTTCTGTTTCATGTTAGATTGCATTTATGACAGTTTGACAGCTGCTGTCCTAAAACAGAACTGCAATAAACAATGTTAGATTTGTCAAATATGAGATGTCCACAACACTCAGACGAATCATTTTGCCTAATATGCAAGCAAAAATGTATAGGCATCAATCAAACGTGGTTCTAACTCTGCCAAATTCAATCTGGAAGTCGTGAAAAGCTGAAGAAAACAGCTAAACAACACATTCCCTCAGTGGAGTCATCCTTTGTTTATTCCATCAAGGAAAGTCAAGCGTCCAATCAAACAACCCACTGGCTGAGACCTCTTAGTGTCAGACTTGCTTATTCATTAGTAAGGTGTCCAGAAGGCCTGGACTCAGTGAAAGCTCAGCTATCTTTTATCAGCTTTATTCCACAGGTCTCTGAGCAGTGGCATATTTGTGTGATAGAGTTCCATCCTTCTAATTGGACTGAGAAGGAGGGGATGTGATGCTTGCTAATTGACATTTGTTTGATTGTGTGGGAAGAACCGGTATTTGTTTGGTGGCAGAAAGATCCTTTGAAGTAATCCCGTCTCAGTCTCATTCTCCCTCTCGAGCAATTAAGTTCTGGAACATTTTGCTTGCCCTATAAGACGGATGGGAAGAAGAAGAAAAAACAATTAAAATGGGTGGCAATTGATCTCATTAGTATGGAAGTCTTGGCAGAGGCGCGGAATTCTATTAATGGCACAGAATCTTAATATCATAAACACAACATTTAGAAGAAGCTGAAAAGCGAAGCTGAAGCAAACAACACACATACAGTGTGATATCACTATACTGAAAATGTCAAACAGATTAATATCTGGGAGGAAACAATATTCTCATTAACCGGTTTATTCGAGTCTTTTCTGTAGCATGCGTCTGACAACATAGTGATTTACACTGCATTGTGTTGTGTATCATTAGGGGCATTGCTAATAACGCTGCTGAAGGCCAACATTAATAACATTTACCAAACATTAGCCTGTTCAGCGTTATCATGGCCTACCTTTATTTATGTTCACCAAATGTCATGACAGCAACCGATACTCAATGCTTGTTTCCACCATAATATAAAAAAGGTAATTTTGACATTTTATCTTACAACTCTAAACTGGTGATTCTGTAGAAAAAAGTCGGAATTGTGAGATCAAAAGTCGCAATTACCTTTTTTATTTTTTATTCAATGGTGGGGGAAAAAAAACATATAAACGATAGATATAAAAGAATTGCGAGAAAAAGTCAGAATTGTGAGATAATCCCAGAATTGTAAGAAAAAGGAACAGTGAGATATACATTCAGAATTGCAAGAGAAAAAAAATCTGAATTGTGAGATAGAAAGTCAAAATAACAATATTTTTATCCAGTGGCAGAAACAAACTTCCATAATTTTGTCATTAGATCATCTTTTTGTGTCATCTGCACTCGGCCTTTGCAGTTTTGCTTTGCTGTTCAGACTCCACAAGGTTGTGTAAGGATTTTCATTACATAGCAGTAATTTAAAATGTTCTACAAGCATCCTGAGGCTTGATTATCTGCCTGTTACGTCAGACATGCCATGATGAAAACAGCACTGCTGGCATTATAACTTGCTAAAAAATTTATGAGTATACTGTACTGTCAAAAAATTTGTAAAAATTTGTACCTTTAGGGGTGCGACAGCTTGTCATTGTGGCCTAAAGGGTACATTACCTTAACATGTACTACAGGCACAACGAGTGTATCTTTGAGGAGACTGCCCCGCTGACAAGCTGTTGTACCCCTAAAGGTGTAATTTTTGTACAGTTTCTTTCCTGACAACAAACTATTTTGCAGTTATGATGCAGATTTACCTTATTTTCTACTTCATAACTCGAAGCCAACTGAATATCTGCAAAAATCTATCAAGACTTATGCGGTGACCTATGAGGCTGAGGATAGCTAGTTTCACAAACAAACTTCTTTGGCATGAATTCTGTTTGGCTCATCAAAACGAAAATTTATGAAAAAGCATGTGTGATTATTCTTTTAATAAATAAACCATCAGCTAGTAGTCATCTGTTTATGCATTACTTTTGCTAGTTTAATTTTGTTGGTGTATTGCGTCCACATGCAATACCTTCCAAAAACAGAAGAGGGCACATGATGGATGATTTCATTAGTGTTCTTACTACTGAAAAATGACAAAACATCCATCCATGTAGGTTTGCAGTGAAGCTATCTCAGCATCTTTAGCCAAAAGCAGGGAGACATGGCCATTCCATCGCAGGGCCTACTGACCTGCAGACAATCTCTAATTATCCTATGACAAAACCTCTGGATGTGAAATTGAACAAAAATGGAAGCAACTTAATACAATCATTATTACGTTTGATTTCCTGTGGACTTTGATTGATTGAATCGTAAGAATCACATCGGAGCTAAAAAGACTTTAAAAAGGCTAAAAAAAGACCCTGCAGTTGCTACTCCTACACAAATAACACCTTCTGCCTACCCATACTGTTTTCTTATAAATTACTTATAGGCTATATATATCATGTCACACTGGAAATGTGTGCTGAATAGTTAGAGGGTGGTTTGCGAACACTCTTAGCTGAAATTAGCATTCTATACATGTTAGATGAGAAGGAAAATAAAAGCTTTGTGTCATCTTTTAAATTAAGGATTTAGATAAATTACCTCTTGCAGAACATCTTCTGCCTGCATATACTTGTTGTTTAGCCTCAGGGGGCTTATACAGACACCGTATTTTCTTCTACAGATTGGATTTATGTCATCAAATTCCTAAAGAATGATAATGAATAAATCACAGATTTGATGCATTAAATGTTCCAGACAGATTGTCAACATGACAGAGCCGACATGACATGCCTGGCTGACATGTTCAATCATGCATCACTCATACTGAAATATAGCACAATAATAACAAGTATATCGATGGATGAGAATTTCGCTGTCCATCTGAAAGATTTGTCTGGGTAATTACAAGTTAAACTCTACAGCGTCTGTGTGTAGTTGATTAGTCTACCAGATATAATCGAACCAACTTGTATCTCAGTTGGAAAATGCAAACAACCTCCTGACAGTTACTGACACTTAAGGGGTGGAGTCTGACACATTTACCGTTGTTTGGCAAAATCCAGTCTTACGAGGCTGAACAATTTCCCAACGCAAAATTTGCAACAAGTTCAAGTTGGTCCTTGATCAACATAAATCTGCTTGGTTTGAAAGCAACTTGTCAGCTGTGCTTCATGCTACACTGCAATAGCTAGACGTGGACTTTTTTGCCCATTTACCTTTGTATAGTTGAAATTCCACGGCTCAACAGAAATCCACGTGATCGTGAATTTGTGTGAGGGACAAATCATGTGAAAATGTCCCCATTTTTGTTGAACTTTTAACATGCAAATTCAAATATAAAGGACAATGGATTACTTTGCCAACAAAATTTTGCAGAAGTTTGCATTAATGTGACCAAAAAAAACAATGAAAGCCATGGCTCACCATTTTCCATGGCAACATTTTCGGTTTCATTATTATAAACTAATTTCATTGCTGTGAATGCCTCATGCTGAGATTATTATTTGTCAGTGGGGAGAAAGGAGCATTGCAGGTCCAAATGGCTGACACCAATGCCACGTTCCTCATTAGAGCTGTTGGGCAACTGTATGAAATGGCATTGATTTCCCCAGGCCTGGTTGTTTTTACAGTGCAGCACCCTTATCATCAGGGTACACACCTTTCAATTAGCCAGCAGCCTTTCAGAGGCAGTAAACAAGGGCGACAAGTGATTACATATGACTTGCCCTCAACATAACTGCTTCCTATGATTTACAAAACATATCGTATTTGGGTGGGGAAATAACGTGCAAAATCACTCTTTCAGAATTTCGGATTACTTTTGTGATGGAAGGGTTTGATGGGTCCAACATACAGCTAAAACCTGACATAGATGACAATGAAAACACTTTCTACCACATAAGCAGTTTGAAACTGGACAGAAATTATGTGACTAAATGCGAGCTTAATCAAACTAAATTTTACTGTGAATATCCTGTCAGCCTCACACCTGAAATCTTAAAGTAAAGTTTGTGTGTGAAAACACATTCATCTGATTCATTGTGGGAAATCACTACAATAAAACTGCAGTTAAAGAAAACAAACAGTTTCGACTCACTCAGTGAACTGCTCAAGCACATATTTAGTCAATCATTTCATAATATCCTGTTCTACTCGGCAGTGGGGATATTTATATATTAAAGTGTCATTAATATAAATTACTAAATCAGCTATTCTATTTAAAATAGTTTTGACCATTTAAATAAAATAGAATAATTTAATAACTGATGACAGTCAAGGCAGAATCCCAGTAAAAGAGAGTCAATTTATTCCATGACTTAAATAAAAGTATGAATATATACATATTCAATTGCCCATTTTCTTAAATGAAGATATGGCATCTTACACCAAGGGTCTATTTTTACCTTTTCACTTAAAAATAAAAATGTATTTTATTTATTTTTATTTACAATTATCTTACTCCACAAATCCAAAAACATGTCTACAAATTTCTAATTAAAAATAGAAAAGAAACCTTTGATATTCAACATAATATAGTATACCATACACTATAACACGCAAAATTAGATTAACCTCTAAACTATTTTATCTGACTAA